TTGGTGGGCTCAGCGCGATAGTCTGGACGCGCAGATGTCGACATCAAAGGTATTTGTCGACCACCCAGGTCGACCATCCCACGAGGCATACCTGGGTGGTCGACAAATACCTTTGATGTCGACACCTGCGCGTCCAGACATCGCGACAGAGGCACGTAGTCTAGATGTACCCTGATCCAGCCCTGGTCCTGCTGGACACTTCTGTGGCCTTGTTACCATGTAAGCCACACACCAATTTACACTGGCTAACGTCTACACTACGAGCCTGTTGCAGAAGAGCAAATGGAGTGCTCATTTGTATATGTCATATTCTCATTTACATTGCCTCTTCCTTTCCCTTTTGAGCAAGAGGTTTTTGTGGAAAAAAGCACTGTGTAGACAGCACCTTCTTGTGCAAAAACGCCCTTTTGCGCAAGAGCCATTCTTCCTCTTTGAAAAGGCACTGTCTACACAGCGCTTTTTTGCGCAAAAACCTCTTGCGTGGAAAGGAAGAGGAAATGCAAATGAGTGACATGCAAATGAGCACTCCATTTGCATTTGCTCATCTGCAAGAGGCTCATAGTGGAGACATAGCCTGTGAGAAACTTACTCATTCTGAATTAACTCCCTTGCCAAAAGGACTTGTAGATGACAGCTAAGCTGCTGTAGTTGACAACTGGTCATAAACTTTCTCAATTGTAAACTGATAAACTCATTTGTTGTTGTTTAAAACTAAAACACTACTAGGTAGAGGCTACCCAATACTTTCTTGATCAGTTGATGTGAGTTCTTCATAGACTTAGTAAAAGCGCTTACCAGCTATAGTATCTAAGGCTAAATAATCATTTGGACTGTGGGCCATATCCATGCCACCAGACACTCTTGAACAGAGCACAAATTGTATTTACTTGCAGTTATTGTTGTATGGACCTTGACAAAATTTTGACAAATAGACTATCCCTGTGCTAAACAAGGTACAAATGGGTGCCTGTGTAATCAGTGCTGTCAGTTCTTCCAGTCTGAGCCTAGAGGCAACCGTAAGTAGTAGATGGAAGACTAAAGAAACCATCTTCTGGTTCTGTATGCTGAGAGATTCATGACTGAATTTTCAAATGCTTTTAAGTTTTGTGTGGCTGGGTCTCTTATAGCACTCATTGGTCTGCTACTTCTCCTGATCAGAGACTGAGCAAAGGCATTTGGGTGATTGCTGAGCTGACTTCCAAGGAGAAACTTGCAATCTGAGCAAGAGTTTGTATTAAAAAAAAAAAAAAGAAACTGGATGCTGTTCCCACAGGAATAGGACTATTTGTCTTAGATAAATATTTGACTGCAGGTCCATAAGAGGATATTTTGGGTTCTGAGCTTTGTCAGCCATTAAAAGCAAGCCTTCAGTATTGTGGTTCAACAACAGTGCTGTTTAAACTGAATTATGACTGTAACTTACTCCTGTCTTTACAACACTGTAGCTATTGGTATAAGAAGGCTCTCTGAGCAGACACCACTCCTGCCACATGATTTCAGACAGAGTGGTATTAAAATGTCAGTTTTCACTGACTAGCATTAGAATTTAAATTGCAGCTTCTAATTCTCCAAGGCTGTTACATGGCAAATATGGATTAAGTCAAACTACTTTGTACCTTCATCTGCTCTGGGTCTATTTTGAAGCCAGGAGCTAAAAGCATTACAAACAGAGAGAATCTGTGCAACACTAAAAAACCTTGGCAGGAATAGAAGCTATTCATATAAATACCTGACTTTTTACTTTCCTCACCCTATTTGCATAATAAAAAGCTCAGTTACACTGTATAGAAACACTACCATCAGGTTGAGAATAAATCTGAGGCTATGTCTAGACTACAAAGATAAATCGGAAAAAGAAACTGCTTTCCAATTTACTTTTGAATGAGGCTTTTCTGAAATCTGGCCCATCTACCTGGGGCCAAATTTTGGGAAAAAAAACTCTTTTGGAACATTCTTTCTTCTTCGTGAAATGAGGTTTATAGGGATGCCCACAAAACACATCCGCTTTTTCGATATTTTTTTCAGAAAAGTGGATGCATTCCCTGGATGTGGCAGAGACACAAAACACATCCGCTTTTCCGACTTTTTTTTTTCAGAAAAGTGGATGCATTCCCTGGATGTGGCAGAGCTTTTCTGGGATG